TCGCTCCAATTCTCCTCTCCTTTCATCGGCTGACAGTTCAATGTTGGATTGATTTTAAGATTCTTTGAATAACTTTTAATGCTCAGTCCAGTTTGACCCAGTTACATTACAGAGCTCCTAACTCCTGAAGTGTCACTTCATCTGAGATCGTCCAACCAAGATTTGGAAGTAGTTCCTTTAAGTCAAGGCTGGTAACTTAAGGTGACCAGTCTTTTGACATTAGGACACTGAAGTGCTGGAGTTAGAGATGAGATTAACCCCTGTTATTAAATAATTGCTTTCCTTAATGTTATATTTCTTATTCTTGTTTTACTCTGTGTGGTTTTATTCCCATGTATTTTGCAACCTTCTTTAAATAAGTGCTTATATTATTACTAGTATTATAAACAAAGGTCTGCACAGACAGTGGAGTTACACAATCAGAAACAATTATTTTTCGCTGAATACTCATGGCATGATTGCAACCTCTCTAAGTATCACGCATTTTATTGAAAGTAAGAGTTTCCAGATGGTAACTTCCTCTCTTTCAGTTCTCACATGCAGCCTTTAAGATGAACTGAGAGGGCTAAACCACACACAGGGTAACACGAACTTGTTCCCATCACCCTTGGTTGTATAAGTCAGTTGCTCTTCCCAGAACTGGAGAACCAAACAACAGCAGGGGATGCACTAAGAATTTACTAAGATTTTTATCTTGCACTTAAACTCAACTTTATCATACCGTAGCGCTGGTGTATGGGGCATTGATCTGCTTGACAATCAGTGGGCTCAGGGAAGACATCATCGTAGGCGTAGTTCTGATGCTGGCGTCTCACAGGGCTGGGGAGGGCACAGTCTGCACTGGAGTGACTATGACTCCTGTGGAAGGAAACTCACAGAATAAGAAAAAACCTTGACCCTTCTATCATGAATATAAACACTGTGCAGAAGCACATCAGCAACTGTGCTCATATCAAAAACTTTGTATCTGCATAAAGAATTAAAAAGAATGTTCTGTCTGTTCCACTGCATCGAATGAGCTGAAATCAACTTGTATCCCAGACATATTTTTAAACCGGGTGATCAGCATTAGCCACAATGCAAAGCCAGTGTAAACACAATAATTGGATATGGTTGGTCCTACCTGTGCTGTTTGACAGGTAAAGCTGGTGGCAGCTCCTCCGCTCTGCCCCCTGAACCAGACGCCATCTGGACCCTACAGAGTTCCAACCGCTACAACCTCCACGTCCTCTGTCACTGAACACTGTTCATGTGAAGCCTACAGGTGGCTCACCCACTTCTCACTCAGACTTCCTGTCTATCTCGGTTACTCCCTCTCCCTCTGCGTCGTTGCAAGATTTTAACACAAATTATTCAAACAAGTCTGCTCTGCTAATTTTGTTTCACTCTAATCTTTTTTTTTTGTGTCTGTGGTTGAGGTTGGCACCGGAAAACTTCAGGGTCTGTTCTCAGAGCAAAACTGTTGTGTGAGCTAACCTCAACTTGGCAACCTGGCTGAGCAGTTTCAGCAGAGACACTTCATGTTGCAATCTTTTAACCCCCTTTCTCTCTCTCTGTCTGTCTGTCGCTGTGGATCTGCTTTCCCCCTGTGAAAACTCAGCATGAACTTCTCTCTCCTTGATGATGCAGTTTCAGCCTTTACATATGCAACAGCTTCTCTGGGTTCATGTCCTCCAACCAGGAGCTTTTGCTCTCACTGACTGTAGTGGAAAGTTGAAACCTTCACGCAGAAATAAATAGAGTTTGAGTTTTATTTTGTCCATATCTATTGCCCAATTACCTCCACCAAGGAGGTTATGTTATTACCCCTGACGTTCGTTGTTTTTCTTTCTTGTTTTTTTGTAAGTAAGATTTTGCAAAAACAACTGAACAATATAATTCATGGGTCTTGATTTTTTTAAATCTGACATGTTTAGGGGACTGATATTTATGACTGTGTGCAATGTAGTGCAGATCCGAATAAAAATGTGGATATAGTAAATGTAAATGTGGTGGTGAGTGCCACTCACTAACCAAAGCCAGTGTGAGACTACTTTTGCACATTTTATTCTCTGAAACAAGACCGTTAGTAGTGGTTAGTCATGTTTGTTCCTATACAACCTGTCATGACTAAGAACATTCTAGAGAATTCACGACTGTCTCATGGTTGCATCATTAGAGAGCAGTTCAGATGAACTCTGATCAGCAAACCACCTGTAGCTGCCATTGGCTTCTGCGTTACAAAGGCTCATATAAGGGGTCATGTTAGTATAAGTGGGCATAACAATGGGGAGGAATACAGCTTACATATCGGATATATATTCCAACTGGTATTAATATGTATCATCAATAAACAAATCACTGCCATTTACAGACCAACAGTGTAGATAAGCCACATAATAATAAACTGCTGACCAATAGAAGAAATACTGAATCTGTCATGTTTGTGACACACAAACATGTATGCTATGATATTCTAACATGTGAGTGTTTGTGCTGTTGTGCTGTTTGCTGCTGAAGTGCTCCCACCCCATGACTCACTCTTCCCCTGTGTTAAAGGGCTTTTGTCCTGTTCCTTTAATGATCAGGTATGTCTTCATTTACACCATCACAGTCATATGAAGCTGATGTTGAAATTGTGCACGTTTTTTTCATTGTTGGGACTTTAGTTTTAAATGTCTTTAGCTTTTCTTTTTCTATCGTAAAGGAAATGGAAATTATAAAAATATGACTAAAGGAAAAAGTGAAGAGAAACTTGTAAAACACATATGTAAGTAATATTATGAATTACTGCATTGTATTTTAACACAGGAATGATGAAAGAGTAAACCTGCTCTATATTCACAAACATATCTCATTTGGGGCGGCACGGTGGTGCAGTGGTTAGCAGTTAGCACTGTTGCCTCAGAGTTAAATTCCCCTGGTAGGCAAGATAGTTCTCGTGGTTCTGCCATGTGGAGTTTGTACACAAGTGAATGGTTGTTTGTCTCTATATGTTGGCCCTGTGATACACTGGCGAACTCCACCTATTGCCCAATTAATATGACAGCTTCTGACTCTGCTACCTATGAGAGTACATATTTAGTTAAATCTAGTTCATAGCACTGCCATACAAACCAGTGGCCAGTCAGATTTACCTTTAGCCTCTCTCAACGTTATTGTGGTTAATAGGCTGAAACACTTGATGGCACAATTGAAGATATTATTTTCATTACAACAACCATTCTTTCAGAGCTCAAATGTGATGGTTAAACTGCTCCATGGTCCAAAACATGTAACTGAATTGAATACCTTTTATTATAATTTATTCTTCTTCTAGCCATGGATTTTATTATTTTTCTTGTGAAGCACTTTGTAACTTTGTTTAGATAAGTGCTATACAAATACAGTTATTATTATTATAATGTAAGCTTGGATTGGCTTCAGCACACTCTGTAACCCTCATAGGAGAAGGGGATCAGAAAATGGATGGATGGATATTCTGTATGACTGAGATGTGATGTTCATGGGCAGGATTCTAAGAAACAGCTTCCTGTTTGGAAGCCTCAGAATTCCTCGTGGTGGTTTGCAGATGTGGTTCTGTTGACGGAGAACGGAGGGCAAATTTACCAGTTGATCGTCGTTATGACCCTCAACCGTAATCATGAACGTTGGGTGGTAAACAAAAAACCAGGATCACAGAAACAAGTTGCTGAAATTAGTTTCCTCTGCAGAGAAGCTGAGCTCAGCCTTTCAGTAAGCAGCTCTGTGTCAAGCTGCTCCTTTGCTTTGGGAGGAGTCAGTTGTGATGGTTCAGGATCAGGAATTTGATACGGATGCTCTCCTGGGTGCCTCTTTTTTTTTCAGTTTTACATGCACATCCAACTGGTAGGAGACACAGAATGTACTGGAGAGATTATATATCTCATCTGGCCTAACAGCTACCCAGGATCTAAACCCAGTCTTAGATAATGTGATGAAAAGAGTAAAATATTATAAGTATAAAGTGTCTTTTCTTACTCTTGAATTTATTCTAGACTATTTAATTCTGCATATGTACAGAAAGTTGCGAGATAAATAAACCCTCAGTTGTCCAATGATTAGCTATTAGAAGTTAAAACAAATGCAGTTTACAAACACTGTGAAAAGTCCTGAAATAACTCCTCCCCTCATTATCATTAAAACCTTTGGTTAATGTTGAAGCTGTTATCGAGCGTCATGGACTTAACTGTATGGCCACTTTGGGTGTAATTTGAGGTGCTGTTGAATTTTTTTGTGTGTCTGCTATTTCGTCCACCCTGTTCATATCAGTGGGTAAATGCATCACCTTTTAGTATAACATGACAGTTAAATTCTGGGATAAATCATTTTAAAGATACTGCTGCACTGAGCATTAACTTAATGAAAAGCGGAAAGCCTTATTTGCCTTGCAGCGTTCATGTAAAACCACTTACGTCATGCACGTAAACAAACAACATGGCAAGTGATTATAAATTTAGATCACCTTAATCTATTCTTGTGTGCAGGGACTCATTCTTGCATTGGCCTCGGCCTCCACTTAAAGTAGGAGGGCTCTGCGTCATAATGATATTTGTCCACTAAATTTCTGTGCGTGGGAGAGCTGAGGGCAAACAATCTACAAAGATGAATTAGGCAACCATCATTAAGGGCCTCTCCACTGAACCTCTTCATATGCTAACTAAGGAGTAAGGAGGACAACTTTGGTTCCTTGTGTGGAGGATGCACCAACATCCTCACCACTGCAAGACACACTATTCAAGCTGCAGAAACTATACATGCACATTCAACAGGAGACATGAATAGGCTGAGAAGGGCTGACATTTAAGATCATGAAAGCGGGGGAGGAATTCATTAACCTTCAACGCATGGCTGATATGAGGAACTCACTCTCCATGATCCTCAACACAGGAGTTTGATATTGTTGTTCCGAAAAGAAAAGGGAACTGTGGAATAAAATATGAAAGGCTCAAATATAATAAACACATAATACTGTGGCAGTCTGTTTATGTTGTTTAATTTTTTTGATGTCACATGTTTTAATTTTTACAGCACAATCATAGTTTCATCGAATGACATGAGTCAAAAATGATCAGTGCATTTTTATAGAGAAAAAGATGCATAATGTAAACCAATTTAAGTTCCACTCAAACACTTCTGTAGTCCCGTAGTTTTCAATGGCAGGTGAAGTGTTTCTTTATAATGTTGTAGAAGCGGCGTTTAAGTTTGCCATCTGGGTGTCTGGCTGCAGAAGCTGCTGTGCTGGTGGATGAGGCAGGAGAAGATTTGATCTCTGTGTTTACTGATTGTCCTTTAGTCCTTGAGTCAGTTGAGTCTTTGGAAAGTCTCTTTTTAGCTCCAGAAATGTGAGAGGAGTTGACCTTCATGTCTTCTGTTTTTTTCTCTGGATTTTTCTCCTCACATCCTGCAGCTTCCTCATCCCTGGTTAAACGGCGCAGCCCGGCTTGGCACAGAAGCGCCTCCTCGTTCGCCATCTGCGGGCTCTGGCTCAAGGTGATGAAGCCGTACGGGGTGGTGACCTTGGCCAGGTGTGGCAGGGAGAGGGCGGCTCTGCTGGCCGGGTCCAGGCAGTGCTGGGCCTCGGGTAATGGATAGGAGCACTCCCTGAGGAGGAGAGCCCTTCTCTTCATGAAAGGGTCTGAGACGCTGCGCTCGGCTTTGCGGTCTGACAGAACTGAACTGGACGCTGAAAAAGATGTGGTTGATAAGAGGCCGGAAGAGGCAACAGAGACAGATTCACGAGTTTCCTGCTCTGTCCCGGGACTCCCCAAACCTTCTCCCGACTCGTCCTCTATACCCTTGTTCACAGATCTCAAGCCGCTCTGCACAGACAGACTCGGTATAGTGAACTGTGGGATGCTGCCAGGTGTGAGGATGTTTGGAAAAATGTTCTCCCGGCTCGTCTGGGAGTCTGATCCCAGGGAACAACCGAAGGACTTTGCGCTGTTGGTAGCCCACAGGAGTGCACGGAGACCTGCGCTGCTGTGTCTGCGTTCTGTGGACAGATCATCTGAAGATTTGTTTCCACTGATAGCTCCAATGCTGAACGTCCGAGTTACTGTGTCCTTATACATGTCTGATTAGTCTTCCGCTGTCTTTACACACAGGTTTGGAGAGAAGATAAGAAAGAGGGTTGATGAGCGGCAGCTTTTATACATTTCTTCTTCCCACATTTTGTCCTCCAACAAATGCATCAACAGATACGTAAATGTGACGAAAGCCAGGGCCGGAAGAGGTTTCCTTCTAGGGAGCTTGTCAAGTACGGCTGCATAAAGACTGGGCCTCTTATTGAACCTCTTCTCATGCTAAAGAGCAGACAGTAGCAGCAGCTCCCTGCCTCTCACAGCCTCTGGTACTTCTCCATGAAGACAGATGATATTTTAAGATCACCTATAACAGGGAAATTCATTTTAGGGAACCAAACACATGGCTTCTCATCAATAAATAGTTTCAGGCTGTTAACTAGTTTTATTTCAGTTCCTTTTCTTTTACTTCACTGTTGTTTCGTTTTATCTCATACTGCTAACTTTTAGTGATGGCTGTTTTATCCTGTCCAACTTTAGCTTAACTTGCTGTTTATATTCAATTTTACTTTCTGATTTTGTTTTGACAAAGTCTTATTTTATTGCTTTCATTTTAAGCAGTTTGTGTTTTTTATGCATGAATTGTGTTTTATAATTAAAGGTTATTGTCATGGTAGACTGCATTTGAACATGGCCTGGTCTGAACAACCACTCAGGCCTCTCGGGACAGGCTCTTCCTCATCATGTGAAATATTTAAGATCCCTGAATGTGTCAACACTGTAAACACATAAATAAATCACATGTCCTTTATAACAACGGACCACTGAGTCCACGTCATCGCCCCCCCTCGCTCAGTTCCCGGTTAATTAAAGGGACTCGCTCATTGGTCGTGGCTGATTGGACCAGGTGTATGAGCTCACACCGATTGGCTCCCCAGCCGTGACCTCGGGGTACATGACCCCCACCCCCCCTTGGGCTACTCTCAGTGCAGTCCTCCATCTTGTCCTAGGTGCAGCTCGGCAGCGCCACCAGGCTTCAGACCCGCAGCAGGATGACGATCGAAGTCCACAGAGACGCCGTGGAGCAGGAGCAGGACTCTGAGGTAAACACCAGTTCAATGTGTCTGAGGTTTAAAGTCATCATGGAGCGTTAGTGTGTCTGTGTCCTCACCGGGGTCCTCTCCTCACCTGCAGGACAGAGTCGTGCGCAGAGACGGTGCGCTCCGCTCCATGCTGCGCGGCCTCTTCTGGCCCTTTGGCATCGTGGTACGCCCGCTAGCTAATGTCAACGTGTTTTACTGGTAAGTTCGTCACATTTAAACAATACCTAACTTCAGCTCTGGTTTACAGGTGCGTGCGTACCGCGGGGTTTGGTGGGTCCTGGGCTTCCGGCAGCCACAGGAAGCGGCCGCCCTCAGCTCCGCGGCCCTCAGTCCTCCGCGCCAGAGCCTCGCCGGCCGGAAGCGCCTGCACCGGGTCACACGGCTGCTGCTGTCCATCCTGCCCCGCTGGATGCAGGGCGCCCTGGGCTACCCGGTGTCCAGCAGCATCGGTCGCTCCCTCTCCCCAGGTAATGTTTAACTCAGACTCTACGGCAGGGTGCTGTAACTCATGGCCACCTCTCGCCTTGAGCCCTGCTGAAATGTGGTATATAAGCTTTGTTGAAATGTAATCAGTGCCATGATTAGATCAAACTCAAAGCCTTTCCTCTCTCAATGAGTAAAATGTAAAGGTATTACAAATGTATGAGGTCACACACATCCCAGCCTGCACAGCCTAGAAAACCTAATTGCAACATCTCAACTAGAATGGAAGTCCTCAGAGGAACATAACTCTAATGCTCTTTGTCTTGCCTGTTTCTCCTCCACAGATCCTCAGAAGATTAATGAGATTTAGACTTTTCTTTGATTTAGCTCCTGAGAAATGGTCTTCCTCTTGTAGTCTGATCCTTATGTAAGATCTAAAAAGGCTCCCAATTAGATTTTCTTCAATCTTTATTTGTCTCATAAGGTTCTTGAGTAAAAGGTTAAAAGCTTGATTTCTCTTCATGAGCCTACACTATCAAATCCAACAAGTCTAAAGAACACTGCAAAACTGGTCAGGTGAATGTCTTGAATTACTCTAGTCTCTTGCTGCTTATTTTCCTAAGACTGATCAGAATTAGTACATTTTAATATATGGTTTATTTTTATGAGACAAAGATTGATTGACTATTATTGATCTGCCAAGGCCCAACAGTCTCCTTGAATTCTATCAAGCTGCACTAAATTTCACACTTGTATTGGTTTCCTAAATATGCATCTTATCCATCAATATACATGAATTATTCTGTGGGAAACCAAGACTGTTAAAGAAAGTGGGAAAATATTTGTTTATATCTTCCTATAACTCCTTAATGGTGTTTTTAAATAACTTTATGGAATCTTATGAACTTCAAGAAGTGAGGTTGAAGAATCTTGTTTTTTTTGTTTTGTTTTTTTTTTTTACATTCAAGTCTCAGTTGCTCTTGAACCTGTTATCATGCAAGATTTTTCTATACACAGGCATGTGGGGCCTAGCATTTCAAATTCTTTCCCCAACAGAAATCAGAGTCTCTCCTACTAAACCCTGTGGAAAGGGCAGCAAGAGAAAGCAAGATGAGTTGGACGAGGATGAGGAAGAAGAGCATCCGACCTGGGTGGAGGCGCTCACTCAGGAGCTTGCTGATGATGAAGACCCTGAGGAGGATCCAGACTATGAGGTTGGTACAATAGCCCAAAACTTCTCTGACTTTTTAAGTACAGTCAAGCAAATGTTTAACTGTGGACCCTTCACTTGATGTTGCCTTCCAGTTTGTGTGTGAGGAGGTGAATAAAATGGAGCAAATGTGCATTGTGGCTTCCAGTATAATTCCAACTTTGACCTTTAACATTCACCTGCATTAACACATGGATGTCCTCAACCTGCTGTGGACTGAAATTGGGAAATGTTAGAACACAAAGAATTCTTTAAACCCTGAAGTAAAAGACAGAGCCTTGATGTAGTTCTGTGTATTACAAGACATTTTTAATAAATGGTTTGTTTGAAACTCTACCTAAATGCCTAAATGTAAAGACCAGGTTTGAAACATGAAGTTCTGACCACTGTGCACTGTAAGTTGGCTAAAGTGAATTGTCTTGGCTTCAAAGAACATGCATTGATTCTAAAAAAATTCTCAGCCTAGTACTGTCGAGACGGAGAGCGAAGAGTACTGCTCGCACAACAATACAGAAAGCGACATTGAGGTTTCGGGGAAAGGCGTGGTCATTGAAGACGTGAACGTGGTAAGATTATGTTTGAGATATTTAATTGGACACTGGTCAGATTGTGCACTAACACGATTTTGTGTTTACAGGGTATTGATCCATCCACTCCAGATCCAGTTTCTTGTCCTCCTGTTTAATGCATCCTATTGACTGTCATTGTTTTTGTATGTTTATTAATAACAATAAAACTTTGTCCTTTGCCTTGACATTGCTGTATTCTCCCACTAGATGGCAGTAACATGTTTGTTCAGCAGGGGAAATGTGTTAAGCTGTTGATGCTTCTCTTCAGGTTTTTTTAAATGTGGCTGGTATGTTCAGGTTGTTGAATTAAACTTTGTGTTTAAAAAGTAGCAGGGTTCAGGCTTTATTTGGTGATCACTACTTTTATACTTGTTTGGCTGATTTACTTCCAAGAGTAGAAAATAGAGATGGATGCTTTAGAGCAAGTATGACAAAGCCCCTTAAGCAGCCTAAGATTTAATGATGCAGATTTGCTTATATGAATAAAAAAAGCTGAATTGGCGAGAGCACGTCAATACTTGCACAAAATATTAAGTAGGAGCTCTAGTTAAAGCTTGTGTCCTAAATAATCCATAATGTTATTACAACTAAAAATGATAAGTGTGTTAATGGCTTGAAGAGTTGCTTATAATCAATCAAGTCTCTGAACTGGCAAAGCTGAATATCTAACACGTCAAAATGCTACAAATTTTAGTCTTATTCGTCATTAGCTTGTTTTGAAATGATGTCACAACAATTGTAATGTTTTTAATATAAAAATAGAACAAACATGTACATCACTTGTGGACAAATGATGGACTTGGCTGCATGGTGCTGCTTGTGTTTAAATTTGCATGGAGTTGCATCTCTGTCCATCTGCACTCATGGTGGTTTCTTTGTTCATTTGGAGCCAGAGCTGTTTGAAAGTATGCGGCAGGATATTGAAGAGCTGTCATCCTCTTGTGAACCTGCACTCGTCCCTGTTTAACAACCAGCACCCACTCTCCCACATAGATGAGATACTACAATTTTTTTTTTTCTTTTTTTTTTTAAAACACAGTCCCTGGTGGTGAACAGATAATGATCCAAGATGAGCCAGTGTTCTCTTGTATCTGTTTGCAATTCGATTAACAGAGTGCAGTGTGGGAGGCTGGAGCAACTATTACAGTAACTTTGTGTTTTTTAAAAACAAGACAGGATGGTTAATGTCTGCTGTAGGTTTAAAGGTTTTCTGTATAAGTTTGACAAGTTGCCAACCACCTGCAGATGTTTGGGACATGTCATCAGTTGTGTACCTAATTATTTCATTAACTGCTGAGCCCAGGCTGATCAGACCTGGCTGTGTGACCCTCACATCTTGAGGCGCAGTTGAGCCATTAGCTGCAGTGTTCTGCTGATGGTGCAGGGTTCGTCTTTGCATTCCTGTAAGTCTTTGAGCAACCTGATGGTGAATGTTCCACTTGTCTATTGCTCTCTAGTCTCGTTGGTCTTTCTCCATCGCTGCAGCCCATTCCTCTCTTTCACTTCATCAGCATCATGATTTGTGATCAGGTTATAAAGATAGCAGTTAATGGATGTTAGTTAAGATGTTGAAAGGCAACTTTTTGTTCTGGGTTATTTGTCATGAGGAGAACTCAGCCTGGAGAAATTGGCTCTTTTTAATTGTATTATATAACAATTTTGTTTCCTTGAGTGTTATTTCATTTTATTTTATACAGTCTGTTCATTAGGTCATTCTGTATATTTGATGCAGAGATAAACCAGTGTCAATGTTTAGTTTAAAATCCATTCTACAGTAAACGGGGAAGTGTTTCAGTTTTTTGCACCAACATCCTGCTGCTTTCAATTAATTCCTGAAAACACTGGAGGAGGATTTGACAGTGAACTCTATGACTTCCTTTTTTCTTCCCCTCTCAGATGTTTTTCACCTCCTAATGTTTGGGTGCAGATCCAGCTGACACCTCACTGAAGCAGCAGAGCACACTATGAATTGAACGCTTGGTGTTTTCTGTGCGAGTGTGTGTTTGTGGGAAGGGCAGCAGCAGTGAGAGCTGGATACAGAACAGGACCTGGTGGTCTCTGGGGTTCTCATGGCTGTCTGATGGTTTGAAGGGTAGATTGCTCAATGGAGGCAGCGGTAGAGAGCATCGACCTCTATCTCTGGTGTGGGGAAGCAGCTGGAGACTGCTTTTAAACCAGGAGCTCTGTCTTTGACTTTCAACTGAAAGGTGAAAACGCAGCATCTGGAATGGGTTATAAATTTCATGAACACTCCCAGGCTTGGTGTAGAACAAAGGCAGCCTGCCTCATGCTGTGAGTGTAGAGGGCTGCGTGCTGAGTGGTTTGTTGAAGTGATCAGTGAATATGCAGGGTGGTTGTGTTGCAGCCAACAGGTGCTTTTATATTATCTCACAGCTTTTTTCTTTACCTCCGCCAAGGAGGTTATGTTTTTAACCCCTGTCCATTTGTTGGTTTGGGCATGATTACTCAAAAACTACAGCACAGATTACGTATGGGTCAGGTAATAACTTGTTCAATTTTGGTGCAGATCCAGGAATGTAAAAATTCATGGATCTTCATATTGATAATCAACAAAGTTGAGAAATTTCACAGTTTTTGAAAATAACATCACAAAAATATTAAATGTGTAATATTCAGTTTGATATAGTAAACTTCAATGAGGAAAACAGAATCACATAAATACATACCACTGCATAACAGTGAATTCAAATCTATATGATAAAAACAGTGATGGCACTGATATTTATTTGTATGTGCAATTTGGTGTAGATCTGAATGTAGTGAATTTAAATGTGGTTTCATAAGGGGACTGTTAGGCCTTGGTGGAGGTATATGCCTTTCTAGATTCACAAGAGCAGGTAGAGTGCTGATGCAGAACAGATTGTTACAAAACCTCTCTGACACACACACTTCCAGCCAGAGGCTCAACTGTCTGCAGAGCC